TGAAACTTGAGCCCCTGAAGCACAGAATGACAACCCCTTGAAGCGAATCAATGCACTGACGGCCTTTTCCGCAGATCTTCCCTTCCTCTTCGTGTCATGTACTCACCAATGTACAGCCCATAACTCCGTCCAGCGCTCTTTGTCATACCCCATCTGCGAGGCCCTTCTTTGGGGGCAAAAGACGGTGTGGCAAAAAGGAGCGATACAAAGTGTAGCAATATGTTGATCGTGAGGAAAGTGCATGTCAAATGCGATCTCCCATGCTTTGGCGTCTGGCATAGCATAATTTTCACCGTACAATATCGAACGCGTGTTTTGCCCTCCAATGAAGAAATATGTCACAGAGGCATTGTGGGGATTTTCACATGTTTATGAGACTGCGGCGGGTAAATCATGTTGAAATTGCACATGCGGCAATTTGGCCTCCTCTCCGATGGTGGCGCGGGAAAAAGGGAGGTGTTCTTTGGCCAAGAGAGCGTAGGCATCAATGCTGCTGGCCACATGGAAGTTAATTAATCTTGTGTGCCTCCAGAGGTTCACATTTTTCTTACCACTTCCTTGGATAAATGCCAGACAGCGCGCGCGCGATCGGCCGATCCCAGGTCTCTCCCCCTTTGCTTGGTGCTTTTGGTGAATTTAATAAATTTCCACTCGCGTTGTAGGTGAGCTTGTCTCCTACGGATTTCGAATTTACTACACCCTCAGACACTTCATTCACGAAACACTGCGACGCACTGAATGTGGAATTTTTGGGCTGTGCGCAAGCACAAGAGCCAGTAATTCCATTGTAAAGTGTCTCATAATCCGATCTAATTCCCCGGCATGAATTCAATTAAAAGCATCCATCACAGCCTATAATATATTCATCTTGGGTCTGCATGTGAAAAATTCCATCTCCAGAGTGGTTTTGTGGCTGAAAGATTTTCTGTCTTTTAAATGCATTTTGACACGCGCCAGAAACCAAAAACGGATGCGCACAGGTTAATTTCCAACGCTCTTTTTCACTCTGTACAAATAATCCATCTCGCAAAGTGATCTCTCTTGCCTTTTTTTCCACGGTATAATAAAGAAAAAGACTGTCTTTGGAAGAGAGGAAAAATTGTACAAATAAAATCACCATTGCCATTGTTTATTCAAATGGCATAACATCCGACTCTACTCCAGCCCACAGCGATTCCTCCTCTTCAAATCACACAACCACAACACATTGCGCATGTTTTTGCTCCACATCTTGAGGATCTCTTAAGTTAAGAGATGGCCGGATTTTTTTCCTCTCTCTCTTCCATCAACACGGGCGTTTATACAAATGTTTCCATGTCACCTCCCACAGGATGCTTTTTCCCAGCCTGGCGAAGCACTTTTTCCGTGGCTTCCAGAGGGAAAAAATCGCTGATTGAGCTGGACGAAGTTCGGCTCTATCTGTAATCGCGCAGAAAATCAAATGACGCAAAATCGACTAAAACAACATCAGGGAGGCTAATTATAACGAAATCTGACGAAAAAAAAGGGGGGTCATTTTTTATGGACTTGTAGCACCTAAACGATAAGAGATATCGACATACGGTTTTCACCAAAGGTCAAAAATCCTACTGCCGCTAGAACTTGGTGATGTCAAATCCAACTCCCCACCCCTCCGACCGCCATTTTGAACACCTCCAAAAAACATTTTCTCAATTAACTCAGCCCCTATAGCATGGATTAGGCTCAAATTCTAGTATGTTATACCTGATATCAAGACCTTTCCAACGATTCGCTACTAAAGGATCTAGGTCCTTCCGGACCCTAGATATGAGAGTCCAAATTTTCAAAACTAAAAAAGGCTATAACTCCGGTTCTAATTATCCGATTTGAATGATTGAAAGCTCGTTAGATAGATCTCATAAAATGACATCTTCCACCTAAACAGCATAACTTGATTTGACAACCGCTAGAGGCGCTAAAGTCGAAAAAACTGATTTTCGAAATTTCGAAATCGAATAACTCGAAAACTAGATTATCAATTTTCTTTAAATTTTAGTATGTTATAGCTGAGGTCGAGACCTTTCCAACGAACCCCCAATCATGAAGATTGAAATAATAGAAGGGGAGATATGGGGGGTCAAAGTTCACGTTTTAACCGACCTCCATCTCTATATAATTTTTAAGTCAAAAATATTGTCTATAGTCAAAATATTTTGAATGAAGTTTTTAGATAATTTGATAGTCCAGATTGAGACGTTTCTAAAATGTGCTTATTCTCTTTTGTCAATGCCATAGAACCAGAGATATAGCGGTTTAAATTTTGTCTAAGTGATTACATTATGCGCCCTCTACTTATGCTACTTATGCTCACAAATCAACTGAATTGCCTACTTTGTGGCGATTGAAATCCACCTTTTTTTTATCTCTAGCAATTGCTTTTTTGTATCCAATCTTCATTCTTCACATCCAATATCATCTTAGCTTAGCTACAAATCGAGTCTGTTGCATTTCGAGTTGGCCCAGCTCACCCATAAGCGAATCTTCGCGTTCACTTATCACGTCCTTTCTCATTCATCGGCGGTTGGCAAGATGTTGAAATTAAGGTATAGATATTGGCTGTGTTTTAAAAACGAGTAGTTATCGAATGCGCAATGGTGATCTTGTCATCGCCAAGATACAAAGCCACATTGTATGTAAATCCGTGCTGTTTTTTTTCTTTTATTGTGCCAACAATCTGACTTCTTTTCAATTGAGTGCGCCAGAGAAAAAGAGATTATACGCATACAAATAATTTCTCATTGGGCAGAAGAGGAAAATTTCACTCAATGCAATATTGTGAATGCTTAATCAATAAATTCGGCAATAATGCGCATGAATTGATATTTGTCTCTTGAACAATTAGACAATCGATTGCACGTGTCTTGGGCGAACATCACGCGTTGACGAATTGGATTTCTTTCTCTGCGCGTCTTGTATTTGATAAGTATTCCACAATTTCGCGATGCTGATTAATGATCGCGAGTTGACACTGGGAGGATTCCCACCACAATGCACTTCTCTCGCAGCCACATCCCACTCACGCAGCATCATTAAGGCCGCCACGGAGACAGAGCGAGCGAGCATAATGCTTTTAATATGCGCGCGATCAGCCGAAGATTGTCCCGAGACTCTCTCTCTATATTCTTAGAATTTGCAATTGTTGCAGGTTGCAGCGAAACTCATTACAACTCTCTTTGCGCACAGAACCGTGCGCCGCCGCTCGCCGGACTGCCGGCCGCGGCAGAATGAGCAAGAAGAATGGCCCGTGCCAAATGAAAATGGATGATCATTGTATATGGTTTATTATACACTCCAAACGAGATGATCACGATTAGACTTTTATATTTGACCGAGGTCTTTATTCCCCACCAGAGTTGCTCAGCTTTCTTGGCCGATTGCAGATTTTACAGTGCAAAAACGTCTCTGATTCTCTTAAACCAGGATTTGTACAATGATAATCCTGTGGCGACATCTAGGTTACCCTGGAAGCTAGCAAATTATCATTTTCTAGGTTTTGTGACTTAATTAAGCCTAAAAACTAGCCTTTGGAAGTGAAAGTGTCGAAGAACTTGAAAATATTCCTTGAGTCTTTATTTTATGGACAAATTGTCCCAATTTTATGGATTTTCTAATATTTTCTAGGTTATGTAATAGATCAAAAACAGATTTAGTGAGTAATTTGTATTCTAGAACAACAGTTCTTATGCTAAAGCCGCAGAGATCGTAAATAATTGAATTTTTAATGCCCAGAAACACTGGAAATTGCATTAAAGTCAAACATAACCTCAAAAAGAGTCATGCAAACTTGGAAAATGTGGATTTAGAAAGTTTTCTACACGATTATAACTCTTAATCTGCAAATTTCACTTCATTTGCAAATCATAAGAGATGATTTTGTGATCTGGAAACCTTTTAAACTGAGTTTTTGAAGATCTCTTCGTGATATTTTGAGGTTATGTACGAAAAAGATGTGGAAAAAGGCGTTTTTCTAATGGATTCTTGCTAAAATACCCAATAAAAACTTGAAATCAATGTGGAAACAGTCAAAAAACGTCCAGTTCAATTGATTTCAATGGCGAAACAATCAAAGTTAAGAGTATGTCTTCTTTGGCATTCTTAGTTTCTTTCCCAGTTCTTCTGCCTATCTATAATCTCAAAGCGCAAATCGCTGTCCACTCTGTTCCTTCTTGCAAATATAAATCCATTCCATCTGAGAAGGTCTGAAAATGGCCCAAGAATAGCACGAAGCGAGCGCGCAAGAGCAAAAAGGCCACCGCCTCACTTTATTGCCGCAGACTAACTGGGATGCCGAGGCTCCACAAGGACACAAACCGAGTGGCGCCAGCGCGTGATGCAATCGCGCGCGCGGACTCTTCGCCGGGGCGACTTGAGCTTCTTGTTTTGCTTGGAAAATGCGTGTCAATCTCGCCTGTTTTTCCCCGAATAACGGCCCAACATGTGACACAAGAGACATGCTAATGCCATTTGTGGTTGTCCACTTCCATTAACATCTCTCCCGCCGTCGGTTCGCTGGTCTCCAATGGGCCCACATTGCTCAATTGCGCACGGCGGCGGCGCCTTCGACGGACCTTTGGCTGCGAAATGGAAAGTGCGCGATTGTCATTTACTCGCGTCCAATCAGATGCGCCGCCACCACTCCGGCGCCGTGCGTGACGGACCCGCGAGGCCACTCCCGCCCCCGAACGGGTCACCCAGACCTGCTGCTCACGATCGGCATCTCCCCACCTTCGCCATCGGCCGCCCTCCCCGAAAAGAAGATTCTTTCACCGCACTTTTCACGCTGCAATCTCACTGTGTGTGTGTGTCTGTGCGCAGTTTAGGCTGTGCGCGCGCGTGTGTTTGTGCGCGCATTCGTGGTCCCCGCCATCGAGATCCGCCGCCGCCGCCGCGCAGACAGACTCCAATGATTGCTCTCTCTCGCTCTCCCAAGCGACCACGCAGTTTGGGAGCGAAGATCTCGCGCAGTTCCAACTCGGCGCTCGAGCTGAGAAGACGCACAGAAGAGCCCCCCCCCCCCAAAGAAAAGATCATCCCTCTTCAGAGTGGAGAAGAAAACGAACGACTTCGATACTTTAACACTGCATCGCCCATCTTAACCATCGCAAAGAAGTGTGGAGAGAAGAGTGAGAGAGAGACTCTCGCAGGAGTTATGAAGTGCATCGCCGTGAGAATCAGTGCTCGATCGAGAGCGCATTGGGTCAATGGGCCACCGTCGGATGTTCATTGCCATTGAGTGTGTCGCGCGAACTCCTCAGGACTCTCTCGCCGCCCCCAAAACCCCGTGAAGTAGTTTACTCAAGTGCAAAATCACCCCTTCAGCCAAAAGTGTGGACTCTCTCTCTGTGGATAACAGCCGATCACGTCCTGTGGATTAATTAAAACCCGAGGTGATTATGAATTTCACCATAAATAATGTCCCTTCGGATCGTAAAGTGTAGAAATAAAGTGTGAAATGCAAATATTTGCATTTTTAATGCGATTGCGATAAAATGGTTTGAAGAGCAATTTTTAGGACCTCCTAAATTTTCAATCCAACCCAGAAGAAGAGGTTTTTTCATTAAGAACTTAAACACACCATAAAACATCATAACAAACGATCATTTTGCACTCGCCAAGCCCCAAAAATGTAAACAAAACAGAGTCTCAAATATGATGAGGAAGATTGTGTGTTTTGTGTGGGGAGAATTTGTTGTTGAAATTCAACCCTAAAGTGTGATTGTGATCTTTTAAATTAAGAGCAATGGCAATGAGAGAAGAAAAACGATCACTTTTCTCTTCCGCAATAATTGCAAAATGTGAATCATAAATAATTTATCTACATTGTTTCGACATTCTGTCGAACAAATCTGGTGATCTTGTTCAAGTACTAATTATTATTTATACAATCGCATGATGGCATGAAGAGTGAAGAGAACGTGATATTGCTAAAGACTCTCATCTTGGGATGTGTGAGAAAAAAAAAACAGGGAAGAAAAGAGAAAACATTGGAGATTCTTGAGACTTGCAGAACACGAATGAATTTTAATGTATTTTTGAGTGCGTGTGTGACAAAAGATGACGAATTGGTGATCGCTGAAGATCTTTTTTTTCGATAAAGTGCAGGAGGAAAAGTAATGCAATCAATGCAGAGCTTTTATGCTATTCCCAACACTTTTTCGCGCATCTGCAGAGCTTTTTGTATGATTTGAACAACAATTCATTCATTAAATGGCAATAAACACGTTTTCTGCTACTTTACTTAATGCCACATGCTAATGACATGACAATCAAATCAATCAAACAGCGAATTCACCTATGCAAACAATCCATATTACCACGTGAATACACATTATTTGCAATTACATCACACTGACAGCACAATAATCTCTGCTGTGATCGCTTGTCGCGAAGATGGCACACAAGGATCTCGAGCGCGCGCGCGCACACAAAAAATTGATCGAGATCGCGATCTTTTTGCCCCAATGATTTGTTAAACATGCCGCGATTGTCACTTTTGCGCGCGCTGATCCTCCTGAAACTGCGCGCGATCGCGATCTTGCAACGACATAATCTTTTTGGCGCGTTGCACAGACAAACAAACAGAAAAAAAGAGAGGCCAAAGTAAATTCTGGATCATGTCACCGCGAAGTCACTCTCTGGGATGTTTTGCTATTATGCAGTGGTTCGTGTGAAAAATATCAATTTACCTCACTTTTTTCCCTCCACATTGTACTGTTTACACACAAACATTTGTGGGTTCTTCGCTCTTTTTTTTTCGCGCAACGCTTTCAACTTGCGACGATGCCGTCACTCTATGTGACCGAAAAGATCGTGTGCGTCTTCACAATTCACCACCTTTTAATGACCATAAAGGACGTGAGCATAATTTAAAGTGCGCGCGCGATAAGTGCACGCCAAGGGGGAGATAATCTGGGCTAAAATCTCAAACAACACTTCCACAAATTGTGCGAAAAAGACTTAAAACTAACCGAAATCTAACTGACAGTTTATATTTGATGATTTTCTGCTTTTAATTGTGAAAATTTGAGGTTATGTTCGCTTTTGAATGCACAATTTTACTAAAAAGTGAAAATAATTTCGCTTTCAGTGCAAGAATTTCTAATCTAAACTCTTATTTCGTCCTTGTTAATTGACATAACCTAGAAAATATATGTCAAAATGAAGAATTGGATAAGAATTCACTCACAAATCATATGGAAAATCACGAGGGTTGCTCAAGTGAAGAATGGACGAATCACTTCAGTAGGAATATCGAGGAATTAAAAGAATGAACGGGAATGACAGGAATGGATTAAATTCTAGATAAACATCAAAAACCCCAAGAAATACGCGAAATATGTTGCAAAAATCCCGTTTTCCCGTATTCCATAAACAATAAAGCGTTAAAAAGATTTTAGGAGAAAAAACTTAGTGAGATAAAAGCAATTCCGAGCGTCAGATGGCGTTATAAGAGATAATTCTTGAAGAAATTGAGGGAAAAATGTCGATTATAAAGGGATAAAATGAAGGAAAATACACGAAAAAGGCAAGAGGAGTGAAAAAGTGTAGTGAAAAAAGCGAATAGAAGGAGAATCAAACCCGTGACTTCATGATCTTGTGCTAAATTCTCTTATATGGAAGATTTGCGCTGGAATTTCTGCATATCTTTCTAACTAGACGATTTCGAAATATAATTTTGGAGGGAAAGAATATTTTGAAGAATGAATTTCGGCATATTATGGAAATTTTGGGAATGGAAACCACTTTTCTCCTACTTGAGTAACCCTTGGAAAATCCTTAAAACTTCTCAGAACCCTTTGAATAAATCGATAAATAAAGCCAAAAACAGTGTTTTTAATTGTATTATCCTGTAAAAAGACTTAAAATTAACTGAAATTTAATCAAAATCTAACTTACAATTTTAAAACTGACGTTTTTGTGTATTTTTCCTACTGAAAATCAGCGACTAGATTTTTTTCTGACTCTAAATTGCTAATGTTTAGTGAAAAATTGAGGTTATGTTTGACTTTAGCATCCTTTCTTGCTGCTCAGCTTCTAAAATCACGATTTTCATTGAGTAAAAAGACGCAATTTTACTAATAAAGTCAAAATACTTTCCTTTAAGGTGTTTTTAAAACATTAAAACATGTTAAAATTACGACTAGCTGAATGTAGAATGAATTGAAACACTTCCACTGATCTGTACACCATTTTTGACCGTATTATCTCCCCCTTGGCGCGACTTGACTGTGTCTTTGGCAGATCTGCGCATGAAATTTGATCATTAGCCACACATTTCCACTAATTAATATTCAATGCAGTCGCTTCTTGTACGTTTGCCATGCGGTTCAATGAGTTATTTATCTCAGCGTGATCGAATTTGTGCTTTTTGTGTGTGGCGACACATCGATCGGCGGTTCGCGGAGGAAAAAAGAAAGAAAAAAGATTATGTTCTGTCCTGTGTGATTAAATTTATGTTCAGTAAATTACTATTCACCATATCACGGCCACTCGGTGCAGCTCTTGATTTTTCACACTTTTCAACATCTCAAATTAATATGTATGCACGGAACAAATCGCTGGCCTTCCTCAAGCTCTCAAAATGTGACATCGCCGAAGCGACAAGAAGATATGAGCTGGTAAAAATAACTCACGATCATCTTCATTATTTTGTGAATGCATATTGTGGGGAGAAAAAGGGGGGAATGAGAAACATGAAAAGTGACACCATTAAATTATTGCTCTTGTCGAAAGTAATTAAATTTTTATCATTTTTCTTAAACTGCCAACGACACTCGCGCGATCGCTTATTGTTGGCCTAGGAAGCCATCTCTATAATCTCCCTATTGATTTTTAAGCAGCTCTCCAGAGTCTCGGACACCAATTAATGCCGCGCCTCAATTAAATTGATAAAAAGAAGAAAAACGGGAGTGAAATTAATAGAAAGATAGTTTATGAGCGCGATTCTCACGCGCATTCTGGACACAAACCGCGCGTCGAGCATATGCTGCGCGCGCCGATCGCGGGGGAGTTTTTTGTCCATTCAGAGGTTGATTTCACGTCAATTGGTGTGTCCTCAGATCCTCACGCACTGTGCAATAAAAGCTCGCACGGGAAGGAGAGAAAAGAATTGAGATCACATGACGAAGAGCAACAATGTTAATGAGGCGCGCCGCTGTCGTAAATCAATCGCGCGCGGAGGAAATAAAGTTTGTAAAATTTATAAACATGAAATTATATTGTGGCACAGTGATAATAGCTTGAAGACAAACAATTTAGTGGCACGGCGGCCATAAATCTTGCCAGCGGGCCCAAGACACTGGGGCGACGAAGGAGAAAAAATCATTTTAATAAGAAGCCACTTTTGAATTCAGACACCGTGAAATTGTTCGCCTCCCTTCTTGCTTTACATGCTATTATTGTAGCTCTCGCGCTGATGGTATGAAATTCAAGAAAAACACACAATTCCAATTGGAGGCGAATTCGCCTCTTTCTCTCTCTCTCTCTCTCTCACCATTCTTCCACACACTGCGCGGCCGTGTTCAGCCCAACTACCTACAATATGTGATCAATTTATTTTGTATCACAACGGCTGACTCGCCTTGTTGTTGTCTCCTCTTGTCATGCGGACCCGTTGCTCTTATTATTGTTAGATTTCATCGATTTTTCATCTCTCTCTGCACTCTGTGTGCACTCAAACCTCGCCTTGCGCCGCGCAAATTCACCCCACGTGCACTTGAGCGCACTCAGCGCGCCTCTTACTTTAAGAGACGCCAAAAACCAAGCATTTTTGCACGTTTATCAGCAAAATATCTGCAAATTCTCCCACTAAAGTTGATTATTTGAAGTCACTCGCAAGTTGAGACCATTAACTTTGTGATTATTTAATCATTTTTATGATTATTTGTGAAAATTCTGCTTATTTTTCAATTTCATATGGGAAAATAATCATTTTTTGATTATTTTAGTCAAATAATCGCGATTATTTGATTTGAGAACATTAAGTTTCCTCTAAAATCGCCTTGTGACTTCTCCTTTGATCATTTTGCTTCTCAATTGAGTGAAAAGCTTCAAGAAACCCCTTTTTCTCGCTTAATTTTACAACAAATTCTGCAGAAAAATTGTCTTTTTGGACAAAATAATGCACAAAACGCGCGAAAAAGTCAAAAATTCAGTGAATTTCAGGACTAATTCTTACGTTTCTGTGCAATTTTCTGTTCTTTCTTGACGAATAGTATCCAAATCGTCATTTCTCAGGAGAGCAAGATGAATATTTAGTGTTAATATTGCTGATAAACCAACAAAAACACCTTCCAATCCAAGGGGAAAGTCACTGGCAAGTTGAGACCATTAACTTTGTGATTATTCAATCTTTTTCATCGATTATTTGTGATTATTACTCAAATTTTGATTATTTCGTACAAAATTCTGATTATTTTTCTATTATTTTCTGAATATTTGATTAAAATTTGATTATTTTATACAAATTTGGATTATTTTTTGATTATTTTCTGAATATATTTTTTTCAAAATTTGATTATTTGTGATTTCAATTAAAATTTTGATTATTTTTCGATTTTACTTGAGAAAAAATTCTTTTTTTTTATTATTTAGTTCAGAGTTTGATTATTTTGATTTTTTTTTCTCAATTTTACTTTGGGAAATATTAATTTTTTTTTATATTTCATTGAAAATTTGATTATTTTGCAATTTTAATATAGAAAACAATAATTTTTTGATTATTTTATTCAAAATATGATTATTTTTTTTATCCTCCTTGAGAAAATATTCTTTTTTTAAAATTATTTTATTCAAAATTTGATTATTTTTCAATTTTACTTGGGAAAATAATCATTTTTTGATTATTTTACCCAAATAAAATTGATTATTTGATTGGAGAACATTAAGTTTCCTCAAAAATCGCCTTGTGATTTGCCCCTTGTTCCAATCATTCATTAAAGTGCTAATATTGCTCTAAAATAATCGTTTTGTGAATATTTCAGTTGATTTTATGGGTGTTTATTGGAATTTTTGACTAAAATACGACAAATTTAATAGAAATACTGAAAATATTGCTTCTCAAAGTCGATTTTCTTCGAGTTACATTGTAAATTTTACTTCAAACATAATTCAAAGTCAAAATTTTGAAGCTATTATTAAGTCTGGAAGTTTATTCGCTCAATTCGGCGAATTTTGGCCATTTTTCACCTCTCAAATCTCGCGCTCATTTCGATTTTGCCACTGGAATTGCGATGAAAAATGAGATATTAAAGAATCCATTTCGGGCCTCCGTTCGAATGTCTCCTCGCGGCAATTGACTGTCGATTTTTCTCCGTGTTTTTCTGCACACCTCATAAATTTATTTGCTGCAGACATACCAATTATCGCCACCGAAAGACAATCATCACACAATGTTAAAAGGGCTTCTCTGACGATATCTCTGCACCTTCGGTAGATGGAATTTTACACGATCGCGACGCGGTGAATTAATCACCGTGCGCAGAGGTGACAAAAATATTATACCGAAAAATTCCTTCTGACAAATAAATTCGGGCTGATTTTGTCGCCAGAGAGAGAGAGATAGAGAGTGGGGGGGAAATGTGTATTACAGAGATTGAGATTTGAGATGAGAAAAAAGGCGGCAGAACACGAAGGAGAGTCAGATTTTTCATCAATTATTCAGCAATTTGTTTAAATTAATTGGAAATAAATTCCTCCGTAGGTCAGTCGAAAAAAATAGTCATCTTTAGCCCCTCTCGTCGTCTAATCTCCTGATCTCTCTGTCTCACTGATTAGGGGCACAGTTGCGTCTTGGCACGAGTTGACTTGAGAAGGAGTATAAGAAAAACGCGATCGTGTTCGATATTGAATTTTATGGTCAATATTTTGAGTCAATTTGACACGATCTCATATCGCCACACCAATTAAAATCGTCTCTCTCGCGCGCGAGATCTTTTTTTTCCCGTGTGTCCAGCGCAAACCTCGAAGGCTCTAAATTAAGGCAACACCACCATCCATAAGAGCCTCTCGATGCGTTGGTAAGAGATCGCATAAAGTAACTTGATTGACACATTCAGTGTGTAATAAATAATGCAAAAGAGAAGCGGGATAAATTTGTATATACGAACAAATTGATTTCTCCTCGTGATACACACCAAAGAGACTTGATGGCCAACAAACTTGTTTCCTCCTCGGCGTGCTTCCAAAGTGCTCCGCAAGCATCTCCTGCTCTCTTTAGGCCCCGACGAAGCCCGTCAGCTCCGATCTTAGACACTCCGCGACTGCCTTAGGATTCAATTACCGAGGCGAGAAGTTCATTTTCGCGCAATGCTGCAATTATTGGGGAGTTGAGTGCCTTTCTGGGAACCACGAACGAAAGATCTCACGCGTAAGAGACGATGAGGAGCATAAGAGTTTCTTAAAATCACTCAAAATCACGCTTGATTGATGCAGAATTCATTGTAAATTGAATGTGAAGCTAAATGCGCATCTTCCTTCCAGATCCTGCGCGCTGCGTGCCTTCCCGACACCCTGGCGAGGATGCACCGAAAGGCCAACGCTGTGACGGTGGCTCTGGACCAGTCGCCGGCCGATCCGGCCGCGGACACGAACAACAACAGCACGAAGAAGAACGAGAAGTACTCGCTGCGCCAGCGCCAGCGCAGGGATTCGCGCCACTCGGCGCAGAACAGCTCCGGCTCATCGTCGCCGGAGTTGCGCGGCGTGCGCGAGAAGCCCAAATCCAAGGCGGCGCCGCTGAGCAAGTATCGGCGGAAAACGGCGAATGCGCGCGAAAGGACGCGCATGCGCGAGATCAACAGCGCCTTCGAGAGTCTGCGCCAGTGCGTGCCGATCTCGATGTGCGGCACCGCGCAGGCGTGCTCGCCGTCCAACGAGAAACTCACGAAGATCACCACCCTGCGCCTCGCCATGAAGTACATCCGCACGCTGAGCGAGTGCCTGTCGCGAAGTGCGTCCAGTGATAGTAGCGTCTTAGTCAATAACAATAGCCTAAGTGTTAACAACAATTGCAAGCCTGACGAGGAGGAGCGCAAGCGCAAGAAGAAGGACCTCAGCCCGTGCCTCACGCCGCCCATGGACGACAGCCCGGCGGACCTGGGCCTGATCCTGGAGTCCGACGGCGAGAGCCTACAGCTGTCCGAGCCCTGCCTGAGTCCGCTGGCGCAGACCATGAAGCCCTTCGGCGCCGCCGACAGCCTGGAGCTGGGCCTGTTCCTCGAGTCGGACAGCGAGTCGCTGCAGCTGTCCGAGCCCTGCCTCAGCCCCCTGGGGCCGCTGGACCCCTTCGGCGACGACTGGATCCACTCCGGCTTCTCCGAACATTCCGCCCTCGACATCTACCTGACGTGACCCGTCCCTCCTGTACATAGACCGCCATATTTATTGTTTTTGTATCTTGTGAAATACGTGGTTTACAATTCTCACTGTGTCATACTAAGTTAAAAAGTGCTAACAAAGTGGCGCCCAGCGCGTCCACTCTAATCATTTCGAAGCAGAAACTCTTAGTTTGTAAGTTCTACGCACGCAATTTCCCTCTAAACTCAAACTTCAAGTCAAAATCCAGCCGACAATCAGTGGCAGAATGAGGTAAAAGTCGCTAGATGATTTTCGGGGACAAATAGCCGCCAGAGGGCAGCAAAGTTGGCGTGGGGGACGCTATTAACATCGAATTTTCACATAATTTCCTCTCTTCTCAAGCATTCTCACGCTCTAAGACTTCCTGGCGTGATCCTGGCCAGGAAAGAAGGAAACTTGAGGCGATAAAGTTTAAAAGACATGTCAGAGTTCCGATTATATTTCCCAAAGGCAAGTTTTTCCCTGTGATTAGAGCGTTAGACTGTTTCTTCTTGCTTTAAATGGCATTTATTGGTCAAAATACAATCGAGACTTTAACGTGTCTTGAAACTGCTGCCCTCTAGCGTCAAACTGCGAAGAAATTCAATAAAAATGGAGTAAAAATGATTGAATTATCACAAAATCAGTGGTCTGGAAATCGCGAGTGACTTTTCCTCCCGCGGACATTTAATGACAGCAAATTGAAAATGGCAATTGAATTGCCAATAGCGCAATAGATGGCATTTTAATGGCTTGCAAAAAAGAGTGTCTTCAAGGATTAAGTCAACAATTGTCGACTGGAATTTGATTCTAAATTAACTTTATCTGTCTCTTAAATTCCTCATCGCATTCTCGCTCTCTTATAAATGCTTCTCTCGGGCTAATTTAAATAATAAATAATACACACGCGGTTTGACTGGAAAACAATTTGAACACGTACTTAAAAACAGCCACAATTTCTATCCATCCAATCTATCTCTTATTTCCACATCTCGACAAGCTTTCCGGCCTTCGAAATCTCCCAAGCAAATCTCTCACACGATGTTATTGTTAATATTTTATATAGGATTATTAGACATGCATAAAATGTAAGGTAATTGCATCAACTCTTCGCGCATGCGATTAATTTAATTAGATGTCTCACAATTTGCAGGAAAAAAAAGAAGGAGAAATCATTGGAGAATTTGCGTGTAAATACAAAGCTAAGGAGTAGCGTTAGAGCGGAGCAATTAGCGAAGAATATTCGTCCATAATAGCGATCTGTGCATATCTCTTTTTAGTCTTAATAAATTAATAGTCATTAAGCACACACACACACACTGCAAGTCCCAATATAGGAACTTTGTGCGACGCCTGGTAATTGCAATATTAGACAATCCCGCGACTCATCACGGAGTCCGCAAGTCCCGCTCCTTTTCCGTGCTAATTTCTCAATTTCCGTGCCATTAAGAGCCTCCCTCTCGCCATATATCCTGCACAACGCCTTCTCGCGTCATCGCCAATCGCGCCCAATTAAGCCAACTCATTACAGAGCTATTAGAATACAATTAGTCTCTCCGCGGCTCACGACGGCGCAGCTTCTCTTGACATATTTGTCCATGAGCGTCTCTGGCATTGTCTCTATTGAGACCCACACAGGTCGGCGCATTAGCGGGCCTCTGACACACGTCAGCGACCGTTAATAGGAAAATTCAATTGCGCACTACAGATTTATTATGCACACCGAACCGCTCAACACCATCGCAGATGATCTGAAGCCACTGATAGCTGAATGCCTGCCAAGTGACACTCAAATCCGAAGGTTTACCATCGAATCCAGGGGGAGATAATGTGCCTTCAATCTGTACACTACGTTAATTCCCAAATTATAGTGAATCTCTTGAGATTTCATTGGATATTTCTGCATGAATCCATTTAAAAGCGCCTTTTTTCGACACATTTTCCGAACATAACCTCAAAATATCACCAAGAAATCCTTAAGAAACTCCATTTGACGGCTTTCTAGATTTGCCAATGATCTTAAAATTGCTGATTCACAGTCAGAATTGTCCGGAAATTTGTCTAAATGGACATTTTCCAAGTCCAGAAGGCTATTTTTGAGGTTATGTTCAATCTCAACACAAATTTGCAGTGTTTCTTGGCATCGAAAGGTCAAAAAAGCACTGTCAATTGCTTACAAATGGTTCATTCTGTCAAAAACTAGTAGAATTTATGAGTTAGAAAGCGAATTATTCACTAAATCTGTCCTTTATTTGTTACATAACCTAGAAAAAAGATTCTTACGTTTGTTTCTGCGTGAAAATCGAAGGAAATTCAAAGAATCTGGATGGTTTGTCAGTAAAAGAAACACTCAGAAGCACTCCTTAAGTACTTCTGCTCAGTTTTACACCACTTCTGACTGTATTATCTCCCCCTTGCATCGAATAGAACGTTGATAAGCATTCGGAATGTGTGGCAGAATCGTTTCTCAACACCTCAAAGATTTGTAGCTTATTTTCAGAGCTTTCAAATGAATTCACAATCACTTTGATCGGATAATTAGGAGAGAAGATTCAAATAGTGCCATCTAGTGGCAATTCCTGCGTTCGACCATGGGTTCTCGATGGTTGCGCCAAATTACAAGATATCCTAAAAGCGCCGAAAATCGTCAATTGTCAACCTCTTGTAAGCGTTGTTTGCCACCATCAAAGGCATTTTAAAAGTCACAGAGACCTAAATAGCAACAAATTTGCAAAATTCCCGCGAGATTTTTCTCACTCGCAAAGCCACATTGAAGAATGTCTTGGGCGAAAATTCCCTGAATTCTCAATCATTCCACAAATGCCTTCTCTTGCATATTGCATTAAGTATTCACGGTTCCATTGAGAAACTAAGAAACTTCCACTAACTCTCTCTCTCTCTCTGTCTTCCTAGCTTTAAGTGCCTCTGTAGTGTTAATTCACTGTTACCTTTTTTTATGCGATAAGTGGAGAGAAGAGAAGAGATGATATCTTAATGTTAAGATGAAATACGACACTAAGAAAACTTTATATATATATATACACGATTTTAAGGAAGCTCTTTTGTACGACAACTTCAGCCTTTTCTTCCTCTTTTTCTCTCTTTCTCTCTTTTTCTACCATCTAAGAAACACACGAGAAGTTTTTTATATATTATTTTTATACTCTTATGTAAATATTAATTTAAAAGAAAGACCGAATGTGCTGAGAATAAAATTGAAAGATGGATTTTTTTTTAAAGACATTCACTATTGAATTGTTTTTGGTTTTTTGGGTGGCAAAAATCCGCAGCGTCAATCGAGAGGAGACATTTCAATTCCTCCAAGATGGAAAAATACACCAGCGAAAAGTCCGGCAAGAAAAGCTGGACGACGAGAGGAGAGAGATATTTATGGCAATGGTGAGCAGTAATTGCGAAGTAAGGAGAAGAGAGTCTTGGGAGTTGTTTAGCAGAAGAATCCAGAGCAGAAGAAAAAGTCCCTCTGCAACTGATAAAGGCCGGAGGAATTCTCACGGTCCGCTTTTACTCTAAGGGGTTCTCTGTGAGTTGAATTTTTGATAAGGCACGTCGATCGTTACGTTCATCCTTATCTGGCTGATCGTTTTGGCATCGATCGCGCTGTCTCTTTTGTAATTCAATAAGATCTCCGGCATGTTGTTGTTGTCTTGGCGCATTTTTCTCCGTCCGCGCGCATCGCCCAGAAGCCGGCCAAGGAAGAGAGAGAGAGAGTGATCAACATGTGATGATGATTGTTTGCTATTTGCGAACGCATGTGAAGAAGACGATGCCAACATTGCGCCAACAATCTAAGCCAAGCTAATAATTGATGGGTGAAAAATTCTTGCCTCCTTGTTTCTCGTCATCCCGGACAATTGACAGTGATTGGGAATGTGTGACGGGAATTGGGTGTTCATCATCTTCAGCACAAAAGACGGAGAGAGAGAGAGACTTTGTCAAATGCATATTAATTAAGAGCAGCTCAACAATCCTCCCAGCATCTTCTCATTGTAGTGTGTCGATAGTCATTTGGGATCACATCGGAAAATCTCCAACTGAGCGCCTATCGACGCACATCAAGATCACGCGGGGAATTTCGTTAGTGATCGCCAATGTTGCACGCCACTGCGCGATCGTGCCACGGGATATGAATCTCTGACATCGTGGCCTTCCCCATTTTGGATCAATTACCGCGTGTTTCGCTGGCATCTCAGCAGAAACATAGAGTTCAGCCTCATTCGATCTATTGCAGCCGTTTTACATAATTTATTTCCGATCACATATCAACCCAATCGCATCCTCTCTCTCTCTCTCTCTCTTTCTCTCTCTCTCTCCGCATTGAAAACCAAACAAAACACACGGTGACTTCCAATACCAGAAGCCAAGAAGCCTATCAATAGGCCAAGAAGCTCTCTGGCGATCTTGTGTTTCGCTACTTTGCAGATACCGTGCGATGCCGCAGAACGAAAGCGTCGTAGACATTAATTTCGGAGGGTTTTCTAAGATTTCTCTGAACTAAGAATACATTTGATTTGAATTATTACCAATTTAGCCAAGATTTCAAAGTCATTTTAGGCATAAAAAGGTGGAAAAAAGACGTTCCAATGACTCAAATTAAGAAAAATGTTATTTTTGACTTCATTTTACACCTTTTTTTCTATACTAAAATTAATGAAAAATACACTTAAACCTTCAAATTATTTTCTTGATGTGAAAAAAGTCCAAATTGAGGCATTTTTCATCATAAAATCACGTAGAAGAATTATGAAAGCAACTATTTAAATATTGATTTTACTTTGTATTACAAAAAAAATCAAAAAATTCAAAGTTTGAATAAGAAATTAATAATTTTTTTTGCAATTAAAATTGCTAAATAATTAAAAACTAAATAAATTCGGCAATTCGACAGAAAGAATCAAATTATATTTAAATATTTTTAATTTTGGGGGTTCAAATGCTTTTTAATACTCTATAAACCACTAGAAAATACAATTGGAATTTCGACATGCCTTTAGAGTTCAAAACTGCTGCCCTCTGGCGGTGAAATGAAGAGAAAATAATCAATAAATTCAAAGAATAATCAAATATTTAGATATTTTGTACATAAAAAATTCTAATCGTCAATTTACTGACAAAATTGAGACTATTTTAATCAATTTCCGATCATTTTTAATGTTGCTTTCGACGCTTTCTGACTCCATCGACAATTTCCAGCGAAACGACCAAGGAAGGCTGTTATGGCGAAGATATTTGTCTGCATTATTTCTGGTACAATACCCTGTGTGTCTTCTCACTCTCGCTCGCCAAGAAGTGGTCAAGCGACTGGCCAAGAAGCTGGCGAAGAACTGAACAAAATTTCACCGCTGAGCAATTTTTCCACAAAAATCGATCTTCACGATCACATAGATCATTTGGAGTTGACAAAGAAGAGAGTCTCTCTAATGGACATTCCCCAGTGGATGTCTTCCAAGTGCAAAAAACAACTTAGAGTGAATGCTAAGTGAGACAAACGCAAGAACAAATGCCAGCTGAAGGTTCTTCAGCGCGCGGGTTGATGTTTTGCATTAAATTGACAGAAATATGAACTACCAAGAAGTCGCAGAAGAACTTGTCTCTCTGGATCTCTCGCCGTGCGACTTGAGATGCAATTGAGGAATCTCCATCGCGAGATACACTAACTCCAATGTCATTCTATCTCGCGATGACGAATGATAAAGTGTCATTGCGCGGAAAAACAAGAGATATTCACTCTCTCAAGAGAGGAAGAATCAGAGCCCGGCAAAAAAGGCTTCAGTTCATGTGAGAAACTCGAGGGGCTGATCAGTGATCGACGAGCAGAAGAGACTCTCTGTTTGCCAGTCACTGAGCAGCCTCTGGAGTTGATCCTCATTTCTATGCAGCAAAAGACACTATGAGGAATTTTTCAAACATGTCTTTGATTGATATTTCACATATAAACCAGATTTACATGCGATTTATCACGACCATCAATTAAAGCACTGCCAAGTCTCGCCGAGTAATTCTCAGGCACTCCTCTTTCCCATCCACCAAAGCCTTCTTAGAGTGCTTCTTGTGTGCTAAAAAATGATAAGGAAATACAAATGAAATGATCAAGGGGGAGATAATATGCTCCTAATCTCTACACCACTTAAATAATTCGCAAATTATACTAAATATCTTAAGATTCGGTGCGATATTTCTGTAAAAATCCACTTCAAACCTCTTTTTGGGCGTCTTTTCCCACCATAACCTCAAAAATATCACTAAAAGATCTTAAAATATTCCAATTGGAAGCTTTCTAGATGATAAAATCATCTTTTCCCTTTGATTTAGAGTCAAAATCATGAAGAAATTAGTTTAAATGAACATTTTTCAAGTCCAAATGACTGTTTTTGAGGTTATGTTTGACTTCAACACAATATTTTGTGTTTTTTAGGCATCAAAGGTTCAGATTAGCAATGTTGATTGCTTTCTAAGCCTTTGCTGGCGATCTTGTCGAGTTTAACATAAGAATTGATCTGCTAAAATGCGAAATATTCATTAAATCTATCCTTGATTTGTTCCATAACCTAGAAAAGAATTCTTTCTTCATATAATTCAAAAGAAATCCAAAGAATCGTGGTGATAAATCAGTAAAAGAAGCACGCATGAAAGGAAGATTGTAAGTTTTTGAACACTTCTACTTCTTAAGTACTTCTACTGAGCCGTACACCACTTTTGCACTGTATTATCTGCCCCTTGGAAATGATATTAATTTGAGCGATATTGGCAAAGTGCACTTCAAGGGGGGGAGAAAAATCCCATGACAGAGCAAATCGACTGAAACATTTCAAAACACCTCGATTGTATCAAACTATCGCTCTATCTCGATCACTTTGCTGCGTGTCTGCAATTCAATATATCATCCCAAACGAGAACATTTCAAATACCAACACTGATCACAATCGCACAGAAATGCGATGAGATGCTGAGATATTTCTCATATTTCCAACAGAGGATTTTCACCCCTTTTCGAGCCCACCCACTAATCAATTAGAATCCGTGGTATTCCTCAGCATGGAAATCCTCTCAAATTGATGAGTGTTTTTCGGTAGATTTCGAGCGTTTCGCCTTTTTTGTCTCTCGCGCCGACATGCATTCATTACACACCTAAGCGATTAAGTTCTGATGCTGAGCACTAATTGAGTTTATGCAGAGCTGCATTGTGAGATTCTCCAACGCACAGAGTTGAGTTTCTCCCTGAAATAGAGCCTGAGAGTGTTAAATGGGCGGAGCATAGGAGTGGGCGGAGCTAACCACTCGATCGCTGGCAATATGAATTGAATTATCGCAATTATTCACACACAAACACACGCGGAGAAATCACAGAAATACGCACTGGAAGACAAACTATTGCGTGTGGTTTCTCTATTCACGGGTGGCTATCGTCGCCCAGTGTTTGCGGAAGATAAAAGAAAAATCAATTTATTATTAAATGCAAAATGCCATTCACATCTCTATACACACAATTTACCGGCGACGGAATGCGCGATACATAAATAATATGAGCACAGAAACTACTGTCTTCCCAGCGAATCTCTTATCGCCAGCAATTTCTTCTCTCTTTCTCTGTTTTCGCCAACCGCCTTCTTCCTGTGTGTGTCTTCTGGGGGATAATTTATACTTTCCAGACTTCTTCGCGGCCGAAGGCACTCAGCCAGAATCTCTACTGTTATCAGAAGGTTTGTGCTGTGGAGAAGACTTCTAAAATTAATTAATCAATTGTTCAATTGTTCCACAAAACCCAACGTTCGTTAAAATGCTTTTCGGTTGTCTTGCCAAAGTCACCGGCAAAAGCGCAATATTTTGGGTGAAGCCATCAATCCGAGAGGTGATTTTGCGTGTCTCTCATGAATATTGTCTTCGTCAGTCGCAGTGAATTTGCATGTTTATATTATTGTGCGGTGATTTCTTGTCCTTGCGCAGCCACCATAAATCACCAAAGGCAGCCAAAAGATCCTCAAAAGCTGTCGTGTGTCCACTTTTTGGGGCCTCCTTTCACACAATACCGGCCAATTTGTCGCCGCAATACATTTCACTGCTGGCACATATAAATAACGTCTTTGGAAATGGTAACAGAATGACTTCTTATATTCCCCCTTTTCCATGAAAGAGAGGTTGTTTTGTAATGAATTCTCTGCTCACACAATTCACACTCAAGCACTCGAGAACGATGAAATTAATTCCCCCAGAATT